GGAAAAACAGGGTAGGGGGGAGCCCTCTGAGCCCCAAGAGGAGGAAGGGGCCCAATGGGGGGAAATGGCCAATGGGGGAGGGGAAATCTTCCATGGCACCTGGCAGCACAAGGCTGGGCGCACAGCAGTTCCTGTCCTGGGGGGCAGCTTCTCACCTCCCACCGATCCAGCACGGTGGAAGGGCTGGGGCTGGAGGCCAACCTGAGCACAGGTGGGGGTGGGGCACCGACCTGCCGTACGACGTGTCCCCCAGGATGTACATTTTGCTGCCGGTCGCCTCCTCCATCTTAGCTGCGACGGTGGCTGAATCTGCCAGGAGCTCGTCGGGGAACTGCAGGGCAACCTGCCGGCGGGGCCAGCGCAGGGAGACGTGGATACATACAAGACCCAGCACACATGGAGCCCCTGCCCAGCCACGCTCAGGGCAGCCCCCCGCCCATGGAGCGGAACAGGAATCTCTACAGCCAGCGTGGGGCAGGGAGCCCAGGAGTCATTCAATTCTCGGTGACACCCCCTCACAGCTGGGGGGCTGCTGCCTGCTCCACCGGCAGAGGGGAGCCGACCGGGACGCCAGGACAAACCCCAGCTCCCGAGGGAACCTGCCCCAGCTGTCTGGGGAAGCGGTGCAGGCTGAAGGGCACATGGGGCCACATCTCTATGGGAGGGTCTCTAGCAGCACCAGCCCGGTGTGGGCCTGCACCCGGGGGTGGGAGGTGGGGCTGACGCCAGTGCACTACCCAAGGGAGCTCAAGGACCATGCGGGCACTCGGACAGGCTTGGGGGGGAGAACGTCTGAGCCCTCGGCAGTGACTCACCCTGTGAAACCCACTCGCTGTGACGAAGGCCGCGGCTCGCTCCAGCTCGTAGAACTCATCGAGGGCCTCAGCGGGGGTCCTGCCACTCGACTCCTTGGCAGGCAGGGCCCTGTGGACCACCTCGGCCCCATCGTTACTGAAGAGGGTCGCCATGGTTACCCCAGCATTACCTGCAACAGGCCATCAGGAAGGAAGCGCGAGTATTTATCAGGGTTTGTCCGCGCTCCCGAGGCTGCAGCGGCCTGGCTGTGATGGGTCAGTGCAGACACTGCAGTGCCGGGGAACCCCTCAGGTCGCTGTAGGTACCCCAGCTCCCCTCCCACAACCTAGCGCTGGCCACGTGGGGCTTAGGTTGGTTTCCCC